TAATCCTAATAGCCATCGTCTTGGGTCTGTGACCCCAGTTTTGTAAACATGGAGATGGAGGCACACAGTTGCAGCACTAGTCAGTATCAAAGCCAGCATCTGACTGAACCCACACACCTCACCCAGGGCCCACCATCCTCCTGTCCTCTGTTCATTTCCTTTCTTTACAAATACTTATCTTGCACTTACACGGACAGAGCATCAAGGTCAAAGGGCATCAGGCAGCTCTGCATTCAGTGCCCACTGTTCAGTGGACGTGATGATCCACCCCTGGACTGGGAAATGCTCCAGTGAAGAGACATACAGCTACAACAAGCAGGCCTGTCCTTATGCCTACTCGGAGCCCTCCCAGGCTCCCCTTCCCTCATCAGCACTCTCAGCGTGACATTTAAGGCCCTCCAGGATCTGGGCCCTTGCCCCTGCTGCAGCTTCCTCCTTCCTCTTTGACCCCCTGAGCCCAGACATCCTGGACACAGTTCATCTCTGCAGCAGGAGGGTATGGTGGCTAAGGGGCTCACTTCTGGAGTGAGGCCATCTGCATTCCAGTTCCAGCCCCATGCTCACCCCTGTAGGTCTTGGGCACTTTGCTTAGGCTCTGTGGCTCTTTCCTCATCTGCAATATAAGCAAGATAATAGCACCTACCTCATGCAGTTGCTGAAGTTGAAATAATCTCTGTGAAGCATATAGAACACAGCCATGTTCTCTTAGCTTTGGGCCTTTGCACCTTGTTCCCTCGGCCTGGCCCACTCTGCCTCCCACTTGCTTCCCTCTCTTCACCTCCAACTGTTCCTGCCATTATTGCTTAATGCCCATCCTTCAATCAGGTCCTCTGTCTCTTCCAGGAGTCCCTTCCTGGTTCCTCACCCAGGTGTCCCCATGAAGCTGCACCATCACTACTCTTACCACCCTGAATCCTGTTTACTTGATGGTTCCCCCTACCTCTCTGTAAACTGAATCAAGGTCCCTGAACCTCTTTACTGCCAGGGTCTAGCACAGCACCTGCACAGTACCTAGTAGGTGCACAAGTGATTATTGGCTGATGGCCCAGGGAAAGGATTAATTCTGAACAGATCATAGGTAGAAGTGATCACACATGATGGACCTGGGCCATGAAACTGAAGAAGGAATCAGGGTGCGGCAAGGGGAAAGGCCCTCAAGCAAAGGAGCCTTGAAAGGGCATAGGCTGGCCTGGCTTAGAAACAACAGCTGTTGCCTACTGAGTACCTAGACCAAGCCAGGCAGCATCCCAGGTGTTTGTGTGGACTGGCTCACTTAAATCCTCCCCACACCTCTAGGAAGCAGGAATTTTTATGCCCCTCCTGCCTTTTACTGATAGGAAGTGCCACAGAGAGGCTGAGATACCTGCTCAAAGTAAGCAAGCTAATGACAAACAGAGCAGGCCATGAATTCAGAACCCTCCTAAGCTCTTCAGGAGCTATCAGTATTACTAGGCCTTACTCTCCCTCTAGGAGTTCGCAATTGATCCAGGTGCCTTTGCCTTGCTCACTCCAAGCTATGGTAAAGTTTTGACACTCACTGTGTCATGAATGCAATGTCTCCAACCTGCCTACCTGCATAGAATAATCCACTGTCCGCAGAAATCACTGCTAGAGCCTACGGTCAAAATCCCCATAGCACCTGTCACTCCATCAATAAGATTCTTATCACCCATGAACTTTCTAGGTGAACTTCAGCAGTTCTGCGCTTGCAAATGAAGCATCCTCAGTTACTGTCACTCAGTAAGTGCTTCTCTCTCTCTCTCCAGGACCTACACAGTTTCCATTAGCCAAGGGCAATTAAGCTCTAACCATGGGAGCTCATTAGCAGCCTGGAGAGTCTGGCTTGACGGGAATGGACACCATTCCTGCACCACAAGGGAGCCTAAAGTACCACCCCTTTCTGCTGGCCCACAGTGCACCACCCATCCACCTACTATTGCCAAAGTATCACCATCACTTAAAGGCAGCTGCTGCTTACCAAGTACCAGCTTTGAGCAGGACACCATTTCCCCACTTTATGGATGAGGAAGTTACAGTGCAGAGACTTAAGGAAGCATCTTGCAGTAACATGGTCCAGCTGATCTGATTCCAGTCTGTAGTCTTACTTGTTGATTCAAGTCATTGTTTTAAATTAAGTGATGAACCTTGAATTTTTAAATAAAATGTTTGTAATAACATCATGATAATTTCCTTAACTCCAAACAAAGCCTATGTGCCCCTGGATACAAACAGTCCATTCTAAAAAGCATCCTGGCATTTTAATATAGAAATGGATTGTGGGAACTCTGAAGAAGCATGGCACTCAAGCAGTTAAGCAAATGGCAATTTCAGCATATTTCTGTAAATGCCTTTATTGATAGTTCAGCAGGAGTTTCTTCCATGAAAACACAGAATATTAATGGAAACCTTGATTTACATTCTAAGTTTAACCCATTTAATAATGATGGGTTTGTTATGAACCAGCTTTTGTCCCAAAGTATTAATTCTGCTATTTCCCAGCCAGTTGCCTCTAGATCTCCCCAAGGAATGAGCAATGATAATATAGCCTGTCCCTGTTATTTTTCCAGCATCTTCATTTGATCTATTTATAGCAAGAAGTAAAATCAGCAAGTTCAGAAATGGGAGAAAATAAGGTACATTGTTTGACTATTTCTGTTTTTGCTCTGAGATGAACCCACTCAGTAGGTGTTGCCTAGTCCTTATCCACAGCACTCCCCAGGAAGGCAGTAAAGCATCTTACCAAAAAAACCAAGATCCAGGTCTTGAGCTAAGAGTTAACAGCAGAGCCTGAACTCCTGGTGTGTGTGGGGTTGTGTGTGGAAGGGTCCCTATGTGGTCCAGTATAAGGGAAAGTTTCTTGAAGGCACACTAAGGGTTAAGTATTTCACCACAAATGAGCTCAGTCAGTCCCAGACCAAAACACAAGGCAGGTGCCATTAGTTGAAGCATTTTACCAATGAAGAATCAGAGCTGTGAAAAGGATGAGTAATTTTCTCAAGTCACATTCCCAGCAAGTGGTGAATCTAAATCATGTCTCCTCAAGGCTCTGATCCTTCCACCAAATCTCACCGCCCCTGGCCCAACTGAAGAAACACTGGCCTAGTGGTCAGGACGCTGACCTTGGGCATATCACTGTCCTCTTCATATGTGTCTCTCTGCTGTAAAATAAAGAGGACAAGTACCAGCTTCAGCAGCCTAAGGCTTTGGTAACTCAAAGGCTGACCCAGGCCTCTTTTCTCCCAAAAGGCCTCACCCAAGGGGCTATCATGCCTGCCCTCATATTTGCCAGTCAGATGGCATGTGGCAGTGCATTCCTGCTTCAGGCTATTTCCTCTCAGTGAACCCACAGCTGGAACAGCCAGCTTGATGTTCTCCTGTTCTCAAGTTCCAGAACTCTACCTTATCCTCAAATTATCCTAGGACTTGCACATTTATGAAGAGTTGAAAATTAATTGACTGTGTATTCCTGGAGTCTCAGTTTCTGAAGTGCCATTAGGCTAACCTTCCATAAATAAGCACAAAGTTAAAAAGGATTATTTGAAGCATTCATCTGCATGGATTCTAATTTCTCAAATATTCGAGGCTAACCTGACTAGATAGACATAAATTCAATTTTACTTATTAAAATCTCTTTACCTAAGCAGAAGCCAAGCAATATTTGGAAGGGCATAGTTTTTGGCCAGTGCCCAGATTTTAGCTCTAATCCTTAATAGCAGGGCATGTTTGAGTCATTTGTTTTAATGGAGCCTCAGGTTTCTGCACTTGTAAAATGAGACTCATGTCTACTTTGCAGAGTTTTAAGGCATGGAAACAGTATGTAAAAATGCCTCACAGCACAGGGACATATGGCAAGCTCTCAACAAAAAACTAGACAAGTAAAAGCAGAGGGTTTGCATCAGTCTGATAATACTTTACTCAGAGAAATGCCCAACTACCAAGAGGGCCCCCAAGGAGGCGGCTCTTAACAGCAGGAGCTCTCAATCCACTGACTGTGCATGAGAATCATCTGAGAGCTTTAAACTTTTTATGTCCAGGCAAAACCTCTGCAGGGAATTCTGGTGATTCCAACATGCAGTAAAGCTAAGACCATTGCCTTGTGACCTGGCCTTTCTAAGTTTGGTCCAAAGGGATCCAGGACTCCAAAGGGAGGCCTGGGAGCCATCAGGGCTGGGCAGATACATTCACTGGGAACATAATGATGCCTGTGCTTGGGGTGGCATTACTCTTGCAGTAACCCCAGTGGTAGTAAGCTGTTGCACAGCAGTTTAATAGTGCCGGGGGTGAGGACTCACCAAGACAAGAGCTACAGTGCACTAGGAAGCAACTCAGGCTGGCCTCCTGCAGCTCACCATCAGCGATGAGACCATCTGGACACTGTAGAGTGACTGGGTGTGTGCACACAAGAAAGAATGTGACCAGTGCTGTGTGAGGCAGAGGGAAGAACCATTTCTAGAAGGTGTCAGACAGGTTTTTTGGAGCTGGTGGCTTTGACAGATTCTTGTTAGACCTGGACATGGGAGGGGGGACTCCAGGAGTCAAGGATGGAAACTGGTTATATTCCTAATCTAGTGTGCAGGAGCAAGAAAAGCAGGCAGTGTTGCTGTGTGACTCAAGTCCACTCCCAGTTTCCCATGGATTTCAGGCAGAGAAAAACTCTTTATAGTCATTCCATTGTGGGTCTGGGATCCAACTCTGCCCTCAAGACAAGGTCACCATGGGGCTTGAAGTCTGCTGCTCACAGATGGTTAAAACATAATTTCCCAACCATGCTTTTTTCTTTTTTTTGAGTGTGGAAAAAGAATGAAAAGGAACAGTAAGGTATTCTAAGCAGTTAAAATAGGAAATGTTATTACCATTCAAATTAACATGAAAGGCTCAGTCTAATAGTTAGATTTTATTCAATCAAGAATCTTATCTCAGCTACTCAGGAGGCTGAGGCAAGAAGATCACAAGTTTGAGGCCAGCCTCAGCAACTTAACAAGGTAATAGTGCTAGGGATGTGGCATGGAGTAAAGCACACCTGGGTTCAATCCTCAGTACTCAGGAACAAACAAAAAGTCAATAAAGAAAACATGATCTCAGTGCTTAGGCCATCTCAGCAGGGTTAGATCTCTGGAGGTGGTTCTTGGGTTATCAGGCAATTCAAATTTGTAGGAAACTCAGACCATGGAGGATCAGAAGAACCAGATCCGCCTATTGTGAGCCTCTTGTGGAACCACTCAGTGACAGCTTTAAGGACTTCACAGAGTTCCAATTTCTCATGTAACAGATGGGAAAACTGCAGCCCAAGTTGGGAAGCAGACGTGTCAAGCCACCAGTGAGTTGGTGACAATCAGACTCTTTCACTTACACTCTCAGCTTCTCAGGAGAGGGCTGATGGGCCTGCTCTCTGGACTGAGTGAAGCTGAGGCCCCTGGCCTTCTGCCATTCCCATCCTACGCAGGAAACTCAGCAGAGAAGGAAGTGACTTGCCCAAGGGCCAAGACTAGAACTTGGGTCTCTTTCTTGCCTCTCAGCCTTCTAATAGAAGCTTCCAAAATGGTATGTAAAAGGAATGGCATATGGTCAGATGGCCAGCCCAAAGAAGGGAATCAAGTTAACAATTTCAAATACAAATAATCTGAACAAATGACTGGGTAAACACTGGTTTCTCTAACACGTTCTCACTTTCCATGAGTGGTCCTGTTTCTGTGGAGACCACCAGGAGAGGAGCATGGGCCAAGAACTGAAGTGTTAGAGTTAATACTAGGCTATGAGATGGGCACTTAGACAACTTGCACTTGGGTCAAGAATTCCATGACTCCTTCTTTGGTGAGGAAGAGCACCTCACCAGTGTTTTGACACCAAACCTCAAAATGTGCAGGGTCCTCCAGGGCCCTCTTGCCAGCAATTATCACGAAGGGGTAGCCGAGCTTGTTGGCATCTTTCAGTCTATTTCCAATGGTAAGATGGGTCCTGTCGTCCAGAAGGACCTCCCCGTGGAGCTGAGGCAAAACCTCTGTGATGTGGTCATACAGGTGCCCCAAGAGCTCTGCAGCAGCTTCCTCCTTACTGGCTGCCTTAGGGGGGATGAGGCAGACTTGGTAAGGGGCCAGAAGGCGGGGCCAGCGGATACAATCTTCTGTAGAGAGAACTTCAATAGCAGCAGCCAAGATCCGTGTCACACCCAAGCCATAGCACCCCATTTCAGCCAGGGATGGTTTACCATGAGCATTGGTAAACTGGGCATTGAAAATGGAAGAATACTTGGTGCCCAGGTAGAATGTATGTCCTACCTCAATGCCTTTCGTTTCAGTCAGTGGGCCCTGGCAGGCAGGGCAATTCTTCTGTGACAAGCCTAGTGTCTCCACATTGGCTGAGAAGCTGCAGCTTGGACAGACTGCAAGCCGGTCCTCTCCAATATCCACTGGTAGCTGGAACTCATGAGACATTGTGCCCCCAATACTACCCACATCTGCCTGGGCCTTGATAAATCGCAGCCCCAGCCTGTCAAATAGGCTGCAGTAGGCATCACACACCAGGCCATAGGTCTGCTGGGCAGCCTCTGGGGAAGAGTCAAAGGTGTACATATCTTTCATGTAAAACTCTCTGCTACGGAGAAGACCAAAGCGGGGCCTAGGCTCATCCCGAAACTTCCTCGTCACTTGGTACAGTAGAAACGGAAGCTGCTTGTAGGACAGTTTCTTCTGGGAGGCAATAAGGGCAGTAATGGCCTCCTCGTGAGTTGGACCTAAGCAGTATTCCTTACCATGCCTGTCTCTCAGTCTTAGCAGCTCCTTGCCCATCAGGTCCCAGCGGTTGGTGGCCTGCCAGAGTTCTGCTGGGCTGAGGCTGGGCATGCTGATTTTCTGCCCCCCAATCCCCTGCATCTCCTGGTCTATCACTCGCACAAGCTTCTCCATAGCACGAACGGTGTAGGGCAGGAGATGGTAACAGCCAGGGCTTGCTGGGAGGATCAGACCCACCTGCAGCATCAGTCGCTGGCTCTTACAAGTCAGGTCGCTAGATTTTCCCTCCACAGAAAGCACTTGGTCTTCCCGGAGGTTTTGTGGCTGAAACATGCGGGACAATATCAAGCGCTGCCCTCTCCCTGGGGCAGAGTGGTGACATCTGTGGGATATGTATCTGGAGAGCTGGTGGCTGCAGGTGGCCCAGGTGGACAATGCTCTGCATCTTGTCAGCAGCCTTTCCATGACAACCTGGCACAGGGAAGCAGGTACCTGGAGACAAATGAGTTGTGGGGAATGAGCTGTGCCTGGGTTCCGAGTCACTAAGAAGTCACTCAGTCTGGTCTCCAGCAAACTTCCAAGTCAGCCACTGACTCTGTAGGTGTGAATCCTTCTACTTCTGATATTCTAGCAGATCAAAGCACTACTTCTCTTACCTTTTATTTCTTTAAAAAAAGTCAGTATTTTTTCTGGCTATGAGAGCATACCAACATGCTGTGGAGACGCCACCAGCAGTGACTGCACGGCCCTGAGACCAGGCAGCCTGGATTCCAGACAGTCTTTTCCCTGACCATGTGCCTTAGCCCCCGGTGCTCAGTTTCTTCATCTGGGAGATAATAATAATGAGACCTATCTTGAAGGTTTACTGTGGGAATTTAGAAGTTCTTAGAATAGTATCTGGCACAATACTATGAGCCTGACTGATGTTTGCTATTATTGTAGGAAACTGAGAGGGAAAAAAACTAGAAGAAAATCCACTATAATCCCTCAGGCAATTGCTGTGGACACTGTGGCAATCCCTTGTCTCTTTTGCAAGCCCTGCTCTTCCCATCTCTCACCCTGTTTAAAAATCAATTTCAGGTGCCTCAGCCCTCCTTATTGCACGCGCCCTGGGCAGTCCGAATCTCCACTCCCCCGTGTGTGGCTCATCTCAAGTTTCAAACCTCCATATTGACCCCTGCCTGGAGAGCACACTGCACAGCTTACTTCCAACTCTGCACCACAGAATAAACTCAACATTTTCCCCAGACCTGCCTATCATACTGAATGGCACTGCAAGCTGTCCTTACCAAACAAAACAGAATCAGAAACCTGGGTATATCCACTCTGCCCCTTGCTGTGGCCACATTCACCAGCCCTCTGGATCCTGTCATTCTTGTCCCCATCTCTATCTTCTCAGCCTGTACCTCAGTCTAGGCCACTGTCATTTCATCTCCTGACTTGCATTCCTGCCCTCCTTCAATCTGTTCCCCCACTGCAGCCTTCAGGGAGGCTTCCAATACAATGCAGTCCCAGTATTTGTTCCTCAAAATGGCTTCCTGGTGACCCAAGAATAAGGTCCAAGCCTCTGACCTTCAGGGTGTATACAGCATGCCCCTCCTGGCCATGTCACACCAGTGCTGCCCGCTCCCTGTTCTAGTTTCCTCATGTGCCTCTTTTTTACTTAATTTTTTTTTTTTTTTAGTTTTTTGGTTTTAGGTGAACACAATGTCTTCATTTTATTTTTATGTGATGCTGAGAAACGAATCCAGTGCCCCACACATGCTAGGCAGGCACACTACCACTTGAGCCACATCCCCAGCCCTCCCCATGTTCCTCTTAAACACACAGATTTCTCTGTGGAATGCAGCCCCTGCCCTGTGCATCCCAACACCTACTCGTGCTCCAGGCCTGAGGATCACTGCCTTGTTCTCTGGGAAGCCTCTTTTGTCCCTTTCTCCAGACACCAAACAACTGGCTTCTCCTGCATACCCTCTGGTTCCCACCAAACATGAATTCCTGTGTGGAGGCTGCTCATTTGGCTGCCTGATTCCTCCAGGCACTCGGCTCTGTGTGGGCAAGGACCCATCTGTCCTGCTCACCACTGTATCCTTGGCACATGGCAAGACTTACTATATGCTGTCCAGTGAATAGTATGTTTCCCTGTGATAAGATATTCACATATTTCTAAGAGCAGGACGACCTTCCACTGATGGACTACATCAAAAATGATTCTCCAGTCACCAGAGTTGTTGGTTTTCTCTGTTACATATAATCTATAATGCACAGATCGCTTTCTTCTTTTTTGGTATATATTTGGGAAACATTTCAGGAAAGGAATTAATGAGTCAAAGGGCATAAACTCCTTTGAGGCTCTTAATTTACAGTACCAAAGTCAGCTGAGTACCTCAACTTTTCAGCACAGTCCCTGCAGCAAAGCTCTGGCAGTATGTCAATATGTTACTGATGCCTCCCATCTTTGGAGTATTAGAATCCCAAGATTCAAGTCCACTTGTCAGTCCCCTTCAACAAGTAGCCTCGTCAATTTCTCCTGTGCACTGTACAAATACTAAAAGGTTATGAGGCACTACCACAGAGCCCTAGTGTGGCTTCACAGAAATGTGGCCTAGAAGAAGGCACATACGGATTCACCCCTGACTTCATCACTTACTTAAGGTCCAACCTTAGCTCAGTGGCCCAAGTAAGAAACTCCTTCACCTTTGACTCCTCCTAAAGCAAGAAAGTCTCCATAATTTCTCTCAGGTCCACCCCCTTTTTTCTACATTACGATAGTCTAGTGATCCTGAAATTCAATGGAGCATCAGAATCACTGTGGCCTTGTTAAAAACACTGATTATCAGCGCCTGAAATCCCACTGGCTCAGGAAGCTGAGGCAGGAAGATCATGAGTGCAAAGCCAGACTCAGCAATTAAGTGTGGCCCTAAGAAACTCAGCAAGATTATCTCTAAATGAAATATAAAAAAGGGCTGTGGCTGAAACAGTGCCACAGGTGCCCCTGGGTTCAATCCCCATACCAAACAAAACAAAACCCAAAAAGCCACTGATTGCCAGGTCTTAACCTCATTGAGTATCTGATTCAGTAGGTGTAGGCAGAGAACTCAAATTCCTAACAAGCATCCAGGCGGTGTTGATGTGCTGGTTCAGGGACCACACTGGGAAAAACATTGCAGGGACAGAGCTGTGCACATGTGCTGAATGGGACTATAAACTTCAAGAAGACAATAACCTTGTCTATTTTATTCCAGGTAGTATCTGCAGCATCCAGCACAGTGCCTGAGCACAGTGCTGAAAGAGTCTTTTTACCTGTCAGTTCAGTCTCCCCATTACTGACAAAAAAGGTAGGTGGTCTGAACACTCCCCTGCTTATATTATATTATATTAACAACTCCCCATCATATTTTCTCAGAATGGCATCAAAGCTTTTCATATTTTGATCTCAACACATCTTTTCCAGCTTTTTATCCTACCAATTCCTTAACATGCCCCAAATTACTAATCATTCCTGGAACAGGCCAACCTCCAAATCCCAGCAACTTCAACACACCATGCAACCTTTACTTATCTCCAGAAGCTTCCTCCAGAAGCTTCCTTCAGGACAGAAACCCACTTCCTTCTCCGAACTCCTTTGGCACGTGCTTCCTTGCAGTGTATTGTACTGCAGCCACTTCCAAAAAATATTTCTAAGTGTCTTAGTATTGGGAGTGAATGTTTCATGTCCTAATCCTCCATTAAGCTATGAGTTCATAAAATTTATACACTCTTAGACTTAGGGTCTAGCACAATGCCTAATATTTGGGCAATTATTAATAACATTTCTTGATCAAATATTAAAAATGAAGAGAACAGGGATGCAATAATATAATTATTTGTGTAATTTAAATAGAGCTTTAAGCCCTCCCCCACCAATGTGTGCCTGTTCTCTGCTTATACAAACAGAATAATTAGTATTTTATCTTATTTTTCAAAATACTGGCCAGAGACAATAAAGTAATAGGGTAACAAATATGGTAACCTTATAGTAATGAATGAGACCAAAACTTCAAATCTAGCAAAGAGCCTCTGAGTCATTCAAATTCAGCAAACTTTTACAGAGTACATACTCTGTGTGGAGCTGCTGTGCTTCCTCATCAGGTCTTTTAAAAGATTCTCAAGACTCCCAACTACCCTGCAATCCAATCAGGTAAGTTGTACTCAAAAGTGTTTACAATAGTGCTGGGTGCCCAGTTAAGTGCCATAATGTTTACTGCTAGAGAAATCCCCCGTCAAGCAGAAGCAAATCGGCACATGGTCAACCTTGGAAGACAAGGAACACTCCCCGCTCCCAATCCAATAAAACTGCAATGGAACCCCATATCGGGTTCTAAGAACTGGCTAGGCCTTCACTTAGGAGTGACCCTGATCCAGTCACTCCACTGCCGAGACCTGCTTTCCCATTCCTAGAACGGGAAGCTTGGCTCGACCACCAGGTGATTCCCGAGGCCCTTCCAGGGCCGGCACTTCTAGGAACGCCGATTCTCTCGACCACCCGACGCAGTCAAGGGCGGAAGTGCTGCCCTTGAAAAAAAATGAGGACTTTTCCACCTAGAAAACTGAGACAAGGTGACCAGCAGGATCCATCCAAGAGTTCATGTGATTGTAACCCGCCCCAGTTCAAGGACGCGATGCACGTAAGAAAACGAACACCAGGTCCAGGGTCCCCACGCCCAGAACCCTCACCCGCTGCTCTCCTCCCGCTGTCATCCACGCTCACCACCTGCAGTCTCCGTCAGTGCCACCCGCTCGTCCACCCCGCCGAGCCAGCGCGCCGGCGCCAGCTCGCGCTAAGCCCTGCCTCCAGACCTTCTCGCCAATCGCAAGGCCACACTCACGGGGATGGGGCGGTGCTCCCTGGACCATTCAGTGGTCGGGCGTGTGCAGTTTTCCGGAAGTTTAGTCGAAGAGAGAGATTGGCTCTCCCCGAGATCATAGATTAGCCTGGATCAGTAGATCACCATTCCGGAAGTGCCCTCTAGGAAACATGGAGGCTTAACTCTATGGTCAAAGCCGACTCCAGAAGATTTTGCCTTAGTGTTCTCTCCCACTATCCCTCCCCATTCTCCAAGAGAAGTGCTGCTGGCTGCAGTGTAATTATGACAACCTGCAGGCCATCCACCCGATGATTATTTAGGATTTCAATTTAAAATTTTAAAATTGTGAAATGGTTGGAGAGAGGCACTTTTATTAGTGCCCAAGATGGTCCTTAAGACACGAATTCAAACTTTCATTTACAAAATTTTTTTGGAGCATCGACCTTGTATGATCCACTGTTGCAGTCACAGGGAAGAGTGAAGTGAACAAAAAAGACAAAATTACCTATGTTCAGTGTAGCTTACATCCTAGAGAAGGAAACAGAGTCTGGTGAAATTTAGGCAGTGTGGGAAGGGGGACTACAAGGACTGCAGTACTAAAGATAAATAGCATTTTAATACAATTATTTTAAAAAATAAAAATTAAGGGGCTGGGGATGTGGCTCAAGTGGTAGCGCGCTAGCCTGGCATGCGTGCAGCCCCTTCTCGATCCTCAGCACCACATACAAAGATGTTGTGTCCACCGAAAACTAAAAAATAAATATTAAAAATTCTCTCTCTCTCTCTCTCTCTCTCTCTCTCAAAAAAAAAAAAAATTAACACAAAAAACCACAGCGAAAAATTATCAAGATTTTAAATAATGACAGTCTGTCAGCAGGTGTTAGTTGCTTTGGAGAAAAGCTAACTAGGGAAGGAGAATGGAGTGGGGATTTGAGAGGTGGCAATTAAAAAGGATGCTCAAGGGAAACATCAAGAAGGTGACATTTTAGCAAAGAACCCAAAGAGGTGCAAGACAGCCTTGCAGATAGATATCTGGAGGAAGAATATTCTAGAACCAGGGAGCAATATGATGTGTTTCTGAAGTGGCACCCCCTTTCTCCACTGAAAAGTCTTAACCCGGCCTCTCCAGAAATCTTCACCATGGCTGATTTTAGGACTGTCAGCAAAAGAGTTTCTGCAAAAGAGTTCAATGTAGATAAACTTCCTATTTTTGTGTTGCCCTGTTTTACTTGGCCACTGGCCGAGAAGATATCAGCACTCCAGGTGCTGGACACCCCCTTACTAGTTTTTCACAAACATATCCAATATAATACTTTGAAGAAATGTGCAAACAAGGCCTCTGGCCTTGAGCTGGGCTTCACAGAGATGTCTACATTTTTAAGGTAAGTTACAAATGGACTCCATGGTAACATCTGGCAGTGGGAGGAAAGAAAGGGGGGAAGCAGCTCTCCCCTTCTCAGGTGTTGACCTTGAAGAGTTAACTTGCCCAAAACAGTGAAAGAAAAAGCTGCTTTCTTGTGAACTTCTGCAGACTGTGAACTTCTGAGCCCCTCCCCTTACACGCTGGGTATAAAACTCTGAAACTCCCTGAATTCAGGGTTCAGGGGATTAATTGATTACAGCAAAAGCTGTACCCTCTGAACCTGGCTGCAGCCAAATAAAACTGTTTCCTGCTATCTTGGGTGCCTTGCCTCATTTGTCCCTAAACACTTCAACAAGAGCTGTATGTTTTATAACTCTACCTAATAACTATGGTGTATAGGATGCCTAAAATGTGCCAGAGCAGATGTAAGACATGGGTGACTCTGATGCTGACCCAAGCAATTCTCTGCTCTCAGGGAGCTTCCAGGAACCATGTCATGGTATCAGTGGTGGGGGGAGGGGGCACTAAGCAAAATCCTGGGGGAGCCTGGGGAAGGAGGGCTTCACTGAGGTGGTGAAGATTAGCAGGACAAGAATGGCAGTGGGAGTGGAATGGAACATCATGCAGAGGGCCCAAAGCACAGACTGGGAAATGATGAGCCAGGGTGAGGAGGTGTGGGATGTGGTGGGAATTACATCTTTATTTCTTTTTTCAATTTTTTTTTTTAGTTGGAGTCGGACATAATACCTTTATTTTATTTATTTATTTTTATGTGATGCTGAGGATCGACCCAGCTACTGCTGAGCCCCAGCCCCAGCCCTCATCTTTATTTCTTACATCTCTTAACACCATGCTTGAATCTCAGGTCAGAGCAGTGGTTCTCAGCCTTGACTATACTGGAATCACCATGTGCACCCCCCCACACCCCACCCCACCCAAGGTGCTAGTGAGAAACTGATGTGACTCCATTTTTGAAAAAATCTTCTACCTTAAAGCCTTTCCAAGGAGGGGGGAGTGACCCTTGTCCTTGGAAAAACCCACAGAGAGCTCCTAGGCACATACCCACCCTGCTGAGTTTTTTGTCTGCAAACAACAGGAGAGATCTGTGGCACCAGGTGTCCCCGACTCAGTTAGGCTAGGTGAGGATCCATAGCAACCCCCTAGCAACCACCAATCAGCATGAGACAGGGAAAATACCTGGGATGCCAGATGATCCCCCAGTAGTTTATGGTGGTTGATAACATGTTGAGAAACCATGTAGTTTGGAGACCCCTCGTGGCTTAAACCAATCAGTTCAGAGGAATCCCCCTCTTGTACAAGAGCTGCATGTTTTATAACTCTACCTAATAACAACTATGGTGTATAGGATGCCTAAAATGTGCCAGAGCAATTTGGGTAGCAATCACCCCTACCCAACTTGTTCCCACCAGTGAATGTGCTAATCAATGTTAAGAGCTGTTGTTTGACTTTCCCGCGATGTGATAATGATTTGCTATGTGATGTTGTGACACCTAGAGTATCCCCCAAAACCTATAAAATCTCACTGGACAAAGGACCAGGACTCACTTCCTGGGACCACTGCATCGGGAATGGTTGTGGGTCCAGGCTTGAGCTTGCAATAAAGACTCTTGTGTGATTGCATCGGATTCGGCTCCTGGAGGTCTACTGGGGTCCCACGAATCTGGCATTACACTAGCTATCAATCTGAGGTGAGCCTGGGTAGCAATATTTTATAGTCTTCCCCAGAATGAGTTCAATGCGCAGGCAGCTGGTCTACAGAAAAGTCCCTAGACAGCCTAGTGAGGAGAATTCAGGGGGACGGTGGGTGCGCGGTATCATTACAATCAAAGATTAGCAAAATGCAGCTGGGCTGGAAAATACCAGTGGCACTAGGAGGCCAGGCAGAGCTGGGTGGACCTGAGCTCTGTCTCTGGGAGCCCTGCTTGTCCTCTGAAGCCCAGGACTAGGGGTGGGGCTTTCCCTAGGCTTTGAAGGGATGTACTGGGGCAACATTCCCCACTTCTCCTCGGGGAATGCAAGGCCAAATCAGCTTCAGAATTTCCCATGATTCACACTTCTAAAGTAGCCTTTTATTTCTCCATGCTCCCTTACATGTTATTACATCCCTTCCAATCCTGGAAAAGCCAGGCAGCCGTCTTCTGTACCCTGAGGTGTTAATTATTTCTCAATTAGCAGTTCCCAGGCTGTAGAGCATAGTGGTGTGGAGAGGCCTAATGACTTGCTGTGTTTATAAACCCCCACATCTTCAGAGCACTTACTAGTGGTAACTAATTAATGCTCACGACCCTCTTGGGAGGCAGGCCAAGAAAGCTGCATTTTACTGAGAGTTTGCAGGAAGCTCTCAGCCTGGAGCCTCAGAACCTGGTCAAGACAGCCATAGTCAAAGTAGATTTCCTCCCTGCTGAGAAAGTCCAGAGTGGTCGAGACCCAGCATCCGGCCCTGTCACTGCAGCAACTTCCTGTGTGATATTTCATACACACACACACACACACACACATCTGTAAATATATATTTTTTAGTTGTCGATGGACCTTTATTTTATTTATTTATGTGCAGTGATCAGAATCAAACCCAGTGCCTCACACATACTTGGCAACTGCTCTACCACTGAGCCCCAGCCCCAGCCCCAGCCCCCTGCCTGACATTTCAAGCCATCAGTTGCTCAGCAATTTATTGGATGTCTTGGTTTACAGAGTTCACTCATGATTAAAGCCCCACAAGTGGGCTGGGGATGTGGCTCAAGCAGTAGCATGCTCGCTTGGCATGCGTGCGGCCCGGGTTCGATCCTCAGCACCACATACAAACAAAGATGTTGTGTCCACCGAATACTAAAAAATAAATATTAAAAAAAATTCTCTCTCTCTCTTAAAAAAATAAATTTAAAGCCCCACAAGTTAAAAAAAAAAGAAAACCAGAAAAAATTCACTCATATATTAGTTATCAAAAAGGAAAATGAGCAGGATGTCATGGCACACACCTGCAGGTGAAAGTAACAGGATTGCAAGTTGCCTGGGCAACTTAGTGAGATCCTGTCTTAAAAATAAAACATAAAAAGGGAGTGAGCTGGGGATGAATCTCAGTGCTAGAGCACCCTGGAGTTCAATTTCCAATACTGAAGAAAGAAAGGAAGGGAGGAAGGGAGGGAAGGAAAGGAGGGAGGGAGGGAGGGAAGGGAGAGAGGGAGGGAAGGAAGGAGGAGGGTCATTTGTATTTACAGAGTCCTTGCTATGTATTGTCCTTTTATGTACAGGAGCAAAATTAAATACTTTCCACCTGTATCCAATTATATCCTTAGAACACTTCATTAAGTATGAACATCATTGTGATATCCCTTTTATAGATGAAGCAACCAAAGTTCACAAGGTTGGTTAGCTTGTCCACGGCCAACAAAATTACTAAAAAGGGAAGAAAGGAGGCACGCTCAGGTCCGCTGGACATACAGCCACAAGTCTGCACTCACAGCTTCCAATAGCAGCTTACTTGTATCAAGCGCATCTTAACTCATAACCAATGTTGTGTGAGCACAACCCAAACAGACCCTGTCATCTGAGTTGGTCCCTCTGTCTAGAAGCCTGCTCTTCAGGGCCCAGCGCAGTGGTA